CTGTAGGATATCCACAAAGATATCCCCTCATCTCACGATTATTCTGACACCTTATCTTTGAAGCACAAGACGCTGCAATGAAATCAGACTAGAGATGTGCGCAGAACAGCTTTGATATAATTCAGTTCAATGTGCACATCTGAATCTTTTATGAAGTTTAGCTTCTGAAATCTCTTCAACAATTTTATTGGAAGTTACATTCTTTTGTTGTTTAAAAAGAGTGCTGTTGTTATTGTTTTTTGTTGTTATTGTTTTTTTTGTTGTTTTTTGTTGTTTTTTTTTGTTTTTTTTGGCAATAATTTTTCTCTTGTTAATTACGTTTTGTTGGAAATAATTGGCTTTTTTGGCTTTTTTTTTTATATTTTTGGATATTTTTGGAAATAATTGGCTTTTTTTGGATATTTTTGGAAATAATTGGCTTTTTTTGGCTTTTTTTTGGTTATTTTAGGGGGGGGGGGGGGGGGGGGGGGGGGGGTGGGGGGGGGGGGGACTCACTCGTGTCAGAGTTTATAGTAATTTCAATTGACTCATCATTTAAAGCTAATATTAAGCCAGGATTATTTGTTTTTAAAACCAAAAAAAAAAAATTATTATGAATTTGAATGAAACAGTCTCATAGTAAACGATATTTTACGACAGCATTTTGAGACCGTGAGTAAAATGACATTGCGCAGGAATGGGATAAAGTATTTAAAAAAACAACATATCTTAACTTTTTCTTTCACTTTTTATCGGCTAGGTAAGCCTTCAAATTCAAGACCAATTTAAAAAAAAAATTAAAAAAAATTTGTAACTTTTTATTTTTCACATATTTCATTAGCCAAGAAATCAGGTTTTTGTTCACAACAAAATATTCTAACAATTAAATGTAATGTTTAGAAATATTTCACTTTAGGGTTTTCTTAACACAAACATAACAAACCAAACCCCACACATAGAACAGAAAGAAGATATCTGAGCTCAGGAGACCAACTGATCTATTCCTAAGACTTCTAGCAATTCTTGTTTCAAAGTGGCATCTCATCATAATAACTGACTTGCTGTTAAACGATACACGTTTCCATTTGCTAGGAGTTAAATCAGTTAACCTCTCGTGATTTACCACTCAACTCGGCCAAACATAGGAGTTAATTCAGTTAAACTCTCAAGATTTGCCACTCAACTCGGCCAAACATAGGAGTTAATTCAGTTAAACTCTCAAGATTTACCACTCAACTCGGCCAAACATAGGAGTTAATTCAGTTAACCTCTCGAGATTTACCACTCAACTCGGCCAAATAAAGGAGTTAATTCAGTTGACCTTTCGAGATTTACCACTCAACTCGGCCAAACATAGGAGTTAATTCACTTAAACTCTCAAGATTTACCACTCAACTCGGCCAAACATAGGAGTTAATTCAGTTAACCTCTCGAGATTTACCACTCAACTCGGCCAAACAAAGGGCTCAATTCCGTCTCTACTAGTAACTGAGGAAAAACAACAACACTAATTAAGAATGCCAATCTGACAATGAAAATTACAGCTGTGATGTCTTTATCAGTAACCACCTGTGGAAACTGATCGTGTCATCAAAAAGAAGCAAAACAGATGTATTGGAATGTTTCTACAGCGTGGAAATAAAAAAAATAATAATGTTATTCATTAATGAATACTTCAAAGGCAAGTTCACAATGGCAGTCACGCAATAAGATATTCGGGGGAAAACCTTCTAATAACAATATATGTAATAGAGCACAGGTATTTCCGAGATTTCTCGGATAATTGAAACGCCACGCACTTCAGGCTCGAGGAGCCTGCCATTAAGAACGCGGCACGGGAACTATGAAGTTAAAGTTTGTTTGTTTTCTCCAGTGTAAACAATTTATTGGTTAAAAGTTTAAGACTAAATCCTAGTAAACGTAACATTACCAGACACATGAAGTCTTGTACCAGAGAAATGAGTCTTGTACCAGAGAAGTAAGTTTTGTACCAGAGAAATGAGTCTTGTACCAGAGAAATGAGTCGTGTACCAGAGAAATGAGTCTGATATCAGAGAAGTGAGTCTTATACCTAAGAAATTAGTCTTGTACTAGATAAATGAGTCTTGTACCAGAGAAGTGAGTCTTGTACTAGAGCAATGAGTCGTGCACCAGAGAACTGATTCTTGTACCAGAGAAATGATTCTTGTACCAGAGAAATGAGTCCTGTACCAGGGAAATGATTCGTGTACCAGAGAAATGAGTCGTGTACCAGAGAAATGAGTCTGATATCAGACAAGTGAGTCTTATACCTAAGAAATGAGTCTTGTACTAGATAAATGAGTCTTGTACCAGAGAAATGAGTCTTGTACTAGATAAATGAGTCTTGTACCAGAGAAATGAGTCTAGTACCAGAGAAATGAGTCTTGTACCAGAGAAATGAGTCTTGTACCAGAGAAATGAGTCTTGTACCAGAGAAATGAGTCTCGTACCAGAGAAATGAGTTTGGTACCATATAAATGAGTCTTAAAACTATATAAATGAGTCTTATACCAGAGAAATGTGTCTTGTACCAGAGAAATGAGTCTCGTACCAGAGAAATGAGTTTGGTACCATATAAATGAGTCTTAAAACTATATAAATGAGTCTTATACCAGAGAAATGTGTCTTGCATCAGAGAAATGTGACTTGATATTTCCTAATTTATTTTGAGTCGGGCGTTTTTTTTAACGAAAAATGTACGACAACAATATCCGGATGTCCGGAAATAAAACTATAAATAAGCCAACATACCAGCACACATATATTTTAAACAACATACCTCAAGCTTTAAACGGTGTTTTCTTTAAGAAGTTACAACCTTACGTGTACAAGATCATTTGTTAGCGTTTGTATATCCATTATGAATGACTCTGTATATCCATTGGGAATGACTTTGTATATCCACTGTGAAATGACTTTGCATCATTTGTTTGTATTCAATTAATATACGTCTAAAGACGAAAATAAAGCTGATATAGAAAAGTACAGGCATTCAGTAAATATAGAGGCTATACACATTTTAACAACGATCGCTCTCCACCCTCAACCCCCCCCCCCCCCCCCCCCCACCGTAGATCCTATGTTCCCCTTGGACTTCAAAGACATATCATTTTATTTCTATGATTATCTCAAATAAATTCATCGAATATACCCCACTGAAATCGATAAGTTTCATGACCAGAAAGAGTTAACGACAGCTGCGTTACATTGCCGTAGCTTGGATTGGGACAGCGAATACAGACTCTGACCTCTTGTCTCATACTGCAACTTGTCAACTCCGGTACTCAAGTCATTTTGACCTCTCTGCACCGGTCCAGGTGAGCAGAAAGATACACAAATGGTAAACGTACCTGGCATGTGTTCACGTGACGAAGGTGGGCGCGTAATCTCGGTAAACACAACACACGGTTTCCTTTCATCCCGGTGAACACGAAAAGCGCTCGCCGGACTCGCAGAGAAAAGCCTCGCGTTGATAAAAAATATAAGCTATTAGATATTGCCTTCCAAATAATTCATTTGATGGATGACGAATCGCCCGTGTGCTATGCCCAGTCTCGAGGAATACCTATGTTACACTGATGTGATACTTCTGGGTGGGCAGTTCTTGTAGGACATATGGCTTATATTTTGACGCGACACTTAGTTCAAAATATTAAAAACTTAGCGGGACAATGCACAGTGAAAAGGATGAATGAGATCTGGTCCACACGGATGAGAGCGAAGTGGAATACGTCCCGTAACAAATAATACGTTACAACCACTTAACACGTTACAATTTTATTTTTTAAGTCATCAAAAAAAAAAAAAAAAAAAAAAAAAAAAAAAAAAAAAAAAAAAAAAGATAATAAACAAGAAATAATGTTTGTTGACACGCGTGTCAGTAATAGTGTAATCAGTTTTTTCAAATTTCCTTCACAAAAAGATCTGATAAAAAAGTGTCACCAACAAATGTTATGAAAAATAAAAATCCCATCTTAGTTTCTTTAACGAACTTTTTCAACCGAAACAAGGAAATACTAAACTTGCCCCATGTTCCAATGCTGTATAAATAATAGATTTGTAGACATTATCGTTAAGATAAAAAAAAAACAAAAAAAGATTTTGATAACCTTCATGTTATGTGCCTTAATGACGATGGGAATACACTTGTGTATTTGTGTGTGTGTGGGGGGGGGGTTATTAGAATGAAAACGCTTCCAGGTTGTATCATACATAAGGAAGGTCAAATGTGTTTATGAAAGAGGGAACACATGCTTAGGTAAAGACTGAAAGCCGAATGCTAAAATTAGCCTGGATATAAAGGTAAATATATAATATTACGAGAAGAGATTGATTGGTCTGAACGGAGTGATGTGGTGGAGCAGGGCCAGAGCCCTCCATGTGGTGGAGCAGGCCAGAGCCCTCCATGTGGTGGAGCAGGCCATAGCCCTCCATGTGTTGGAGTAGGCCAGAGCCCTTAATGTGGTGGAGTAGGCCAGAGCCCTCCATGTGGTGGAGCAGGCCAGAGCCCTCCATGTGATGGAGTAGGCCAGAGCCCTCCATGTGGTGGAGTAGGCCAGAGCCCTCCATGTGTTTGAGCAGGCCAGAGCCCTCCATGTGGTGGAGTAGGCCAGAGCCCTCAATGTGATGGAGTAGGCCAGAGCCCTCCATGTGGTGGAGTAGGCCAGAGCCCTCCATGTGTTTGAGCAGGCCAGAGCCCTCCATGTGGTGGAGTAGGCCAGAGCCCTCCATGTGGTTGAGTAGGCCAGAGCCCTCCATGTGGTGGAGCAGGGCCAGAACCCGTAATCCGCTGGAGCGCCATTGTTGGTGATAAACTTACTTGTATGAAACATGTGGAAAGAAAGGATACTATAAAAATTAAAAAAAAATAATAATAAATAAATGCCCTACCTTACGCTTGTTACGTCCTCTGACGTCCTCGGTGGTCACGTGGGCGCCAGGTCGCCGTGACCCCCAGATATGCCAGGCTATCCGGCAGTAACAGTAGGTGATGATGACCAGGGGCAGCAGGTACTGGAAACACACCAGCAGCGTGTTGTAATACAGGTGAAAATCCAGCCAGTTGTCCGGCGCGTGCCAGTCGCACCTGGGGATCACGATGTTGTTCTCGGTGAGGTCCTCCACCCAGTAGAACAGCGGCACCGGAAGCGCGGCGCCGATCCCGACGGCCCAGATGATGCTGATGATGATGGCCGCCGACTTCTTGGAGCAGCCGGCCTTGAACGGGTGGATGACGGCGATGTAGCGGTCCACGGCGATGACGCTGAGCGTGAAGATGCTGACGTTGACGCTGACCACCTGGACGAAGGGGGCCAGCGAGCACATGAAGTTGGCCAGCACCCAGCGCTGCAGAAGGGCCGCTTGGAACTGGGGAGAGACACGAGCATAGATTCAAAATAGTTATTTGATGGGATGACCTATAATTATGTTAGCCGTAGAGACATACCGAATTTCGGCTTCGGTTTCGGTGCCGAAAATTTGCCATTTGATCACTTTCGGCGTAGTTTCGGTCGCGGCCGATATCATAAAATTCCTTTCGGTTAGTCTCTAGTTAGCAGTTTAAATCATATGTCATCATTTGTTCGACATTAACTGAATGTCCATGTCTCTAATCTATTTTTAGTTTCTAACATAGTGTGAAGACGAGAGTATGTTTGTTTTAGAATGAAAGTAAACATTCAACTATAAGCCTTTTCACCATTAAATTGATGAGACGCTAAAAACTTGCGTTAATGAAACAACATATCAATACACGTGAAGCTTTACTTACAACTAGACCAAATAAAAATTAAAACATTTCGGCAAATCGCCTTCGTCGGTACAACTAAAAACATTGTTATAATCATAAATTAAGTATGCCTAATGAAATATGTCTATCCCTTATTGATCCGATTACAAGCCCTATCGTAGCTCAGCCCTGCTATAATTTTTTAATCATTAGAAAACCAAATCCAGAGGCTGGTTAGAGATCCATAATATATACATTGTTGAATAGGGTTAAACTATGATGCCACACGTTGAACGTAGTTAACATTTGGATTTGAACACAAACGTTTTTTTAACTGACTCAACCTCCTACGCCTGGAATACAGACCAATGGGATTAGTTCCCTCCAGAGATTGTCCAGAGACTAAACATTCATGTATTAGAATAAAACCGATTGACAAACTCTACCTAATGCTCTTCTTTCTATATTTTATTAATAAAATTAAATTACTTAAAAGACCGCCATTGCATCTTTGTGTTTTTAAGAAACGAATCTCCGGCATATTTATTTCAACTTTATATATTTATATTAGATTAGATCAATGTCCAAAAATGTGGGCATAGCGCGTTGCTAAGTGTTTATGTATAACTTGTTGCTAAGTGTTTGTGTATAATTTGTTGCTTAGGTTTTGTGTATAACTTGTTGCTAAGTGTTTGTGTATAACTCGTTGTTAAGTGTTTGTGTATCACTCATTGTTAAGTTTTTACTTATAACTCGTTGCTAAGTGTTTGTGTTTAACTCGTTGTTAAGTGTTTGTGTATAACTCGTTGCTAAGTGTTTGTGTATAACTCGTTGCTAAGTGTTTGTGTATCACTCATTATTAAGTTTTTACTTATAACTCGTTGCTAAGTGTTTGTGTTTAACTCGTTGTTAAGTGTTTGTGTATAACTCGTTGCTAAGTGTTTGTGTATAACTCGTTGCTAAGTGTTTGTGTTTAACTCGTTGTTAAGTGTTTGTGTATAACTCGTTGTTAAGTGTTTGTGTATAACTCGTTGTTAAGTGTTTGTGTATAACTCGTTGTTAAGTGTTTGTGTATAACTCGTTGTTAAGTGTTTGTGTATAACTCGTTGTTAAGTGTGTGTGTATAACTCGTTGTTAAGTGTTTGTGTATAATTCGTTGCTAAGTGTTTGTGTATAACTCGTTGCTAAGTGTTTGTGTATAATTCGTTGCTAAGTGTTTGTGTATAATTCGTTGCTAAGTGTTTGTGTATAACTCGTTGTTAAGTGTTTGTGTATAACTCGTTGTTGAGTGTTTGTGTATATCTCGTTGTTAAGTGTTTGTGTATAACTCGTTGTTAATTGTTTGTGTATAACTCGTTGTTAAGTGTTTGTGTATAACTTGTTGCTTAGGTTTTGTGTATAACTTGTTGCTAAGTGTTTGTGTATAACTCGTTGTTAAGTGTTTGTGTATAGATCGTCGCTAAGTATTTATGTATACTTCGTTGTTAAGTGTTTGTGTATAACTCATTGTTAAGTGTTTACTTATAACTCGTTGCTAAGTGTTTGTGTATAACTTGTTGCTTAGGTTTTGTGTATAACTTGTTGCTAAGTGTTTGTGTATAACTCGTTGTTAAGTGTTTGTGTATAACTCGTTGTTAAGTGTTTGTGTATAACTTGTTGCTTAGGTTTTGTGTATAACTTGTTGCTAAGTGTTTGTGTATAACTCGTTGTTAAGTGTTTGTGTATAGATCGTCGCTAAGTATTTATGTATACTTCGTTGTTAAGTGTTTGTGTATAACTCATTGTTAAGTGTTTACTTATAACTCGTTGCTAAGTGTTTGTGTATAACTCGTTGTTAAGTGTTTGTGTATAACTCGTTGCTAAGTGTTTGTGTATAACTCGTTGTTAAGTGTTTGTGTATAATTCGTTGTTAAGTTTTTGTGTATAACTCATTGTTAAGTGTTTACTTATAACTCGTTGCTAAGTGTTTGTGTATAACTCGTTGTTAAGTGTTTGTGTATAACTCGTTGCTAAGTGTTTGTGTATAACTCGTTGCTAAGTGTTTGTGTATACTTCGTTGTTAAGTTTTTGTGTATAACTCATTGTTAAGTGTTTACTTATAACTCGTTGCTAAGTGTTTGTGTATAATTCGTTGCTAAGTGTTTGTGTATAACTCGTTGTTAAGTGTTTGTGTATAATTCGTTGCTAAGTATTTGTGTATAATTCGTTGCTAAGTGTTTGTGTATAATTCGTACTAAGTGTTTGTGTATAATTCGTTGCTAAGTGTTTGTGTATAATTCGTTGCTAAGTGTTTGTGTATAATTCGTTGCTAAGTGTTGGTGTATAATTCGTTGCTAAGTGTTGGTGTATAACTCGTTGCTAAGTGTTTGTGTATAATTCGTTGCTAAGTGTTTGTGTATTATTCGTTGTTAAGTGTTTGTGTATAATTCGTTGCTAAGTGTTTGTGTATAACTCGTTGTTAAGTGTTTGTGTATAGCTCGTCGCTAAGTATTTATGTATACTTCGTTGTTAAGTGTTTGCGTATAACTCATTGTTAAGTGTTTACTTATAACTCGTTGCTAAGTGTTTGTGTATAATTCGTTGCTAAGTGTTTGTGTATAACTCGTTGCTAAGTGTTTGTGTATAATTCGTTGCTAAGTGTTTGTATATAACTCGTTGCTAAGTGTTTGTGTATAACTCGTTGCTAAGTGTTTGTGTATAACTCGTTGCTAAGTGTTTGTGTATAACTCGTTGCTAAGTGTTTGTGTATAATTCGTTGCTAAGTGTTTGTGTATAACTCGTTGCTAAGTGTTTGTGTATAATTCGTTGCTAAGTGTTTACGTATGACTCGCTGCAAAGTTTGAAAAACGGTTTTATACTTGCAAAATTTTTAAATCGTAATATTGTGAACTAGAAGAAAAACCAACTCAACTGAATCGATGCTTTATTGATATTATTATTTCACCACTAAATCTGGACATTGCTGGAAGACTAGATTAGTTCATAAAAGTGTAGTTGCAACTTAATTAGTCAAATCAAAGTCATAAATATGGAATTACCCTAAGGGACTAAATTCGGTAAATCAGATAAGTTACAGATAGGAAAATGGAGATGCAAAATAAACAGTAGGGGGGGGGGAAAAAACGAAATTAAATTTTACAATACAATTTAATTTTTTAACTTTTTAAAAAGTGATAGCGTCTTTACTAGTATTACTTGGAAATTTATATTTACTGTTAACATTATCTTCGAATTCCTTTTGTCTTTTCTACATTCCATTGGTTTTTTTTTTTTTGGTTTTTTGATATATGTTTTGTGTGTTTTGTGTGTGTGTTTTTTTTTTACACTTGCGTATATCTGAGGAACATTCAGAACTTGCAATGTAAATGAAACGGTTGAATTCTGTAATTGTGCTGGTTTTTTTTCTAGGATTTTTAATCGAGAAGCTTTGTGTGTGAGAAAACTTGGATCTGGATGCAAGAAGACAACTACGCCAAAGTAATACTGGTCTAAATGTCTTCAGACGGGTGAATTATTTGGATCTGAATGAAACAAGACCAATACGCCAAAGTAATACTGGTCAAAATAGTTTCAGACGGGGGAATTATTTGGATCTGAATTCAAAAAGACCAATGAGCTAAAGTAATAGTGGTCTAAATATCCTCAGACGGGGAAAATTAGTTGGATCTGAATTCGAAAAGACCAATATGCTATAGTAATAATGGTCTAAATAGTTTCAGACTGGAGGAATTATTTGGATCTGAATTTAGAAAGTCAAATAAGCTAAAGTAATAGTGGTCTAAATATCTTCAGACTGGGAAAATTAGTTGGATCTGAATTCTAAAAGACCAATATGCTAAAGTAATAATTGTCTAAAAAGTTTCAGACTGGAGGAATTATTTGGATCTGAATTCGGAAAGACTAATAAGCTAAAGTAATAATGGTCTAAATATCTTCAGACTGGGAAAATTAGTTGGATCTGAATTCGAAAAGACCAATAAGCCAAAGTAATGCTGGTCTAAATAGTTTGAGACAGGAGGATTATTTGGATCTGAATTCGGAAAGGCCAATAAGCTAAAGTAGTATTGGTCTAAATGTCTTCAGACAGGAGGAATTATTAGGATATGAATTCAAAAAGACCAATAAACTTAAGTAATACTGATCTAAATATCTTCAGACGGGGAAAATTAGTTGGATCTGATTTCGAAAAGACCAATAAGCTAAAGTAATACTGGTCTAAATGTCTTCAGACGGTGGAATTATTTGGATCTGAATTCGAAGAGACCAATAAGCCAAAGTAATACTCATCTAAATAGTTTTAGACTGGAAATTATTTGGATCTGAATTCGAAAAGGCCAATCAGCTAAAGTAATACTGGTATAAATATCTTCAGAGAGGAGAAAATATTTGGATTTAAATTCAACAAGACCAATAAACTAAAGTCATACTTGTCTAAATGTCTCCAGACGGAGGTATTATTTGGATCTGAATTCGAAAAGACCAATAAGCTAAAGTAATACTGGTCTAAATGTCTTCAGACAGGGGGAGCAACTTTAGCCACAGACAAGTCGTGGCGGGGGTGGGGTTGGGGATAAAATAACTAAATGAACTTACCTGAAAAGGTATGGAAAACAAGCCGATGATAACGTCCGACACGGCCAGGTTGGCGATGAAGATGTTGGTCACCGTGTGCATCCTCCTGTTCTTCACGATGACCAGTATGACCAGCCCGTTGCCTATGACGGCCAGCAGCGAGATGGAGCCGTACAGGAACGCCAGGAGGCAGATCAGCCCTGTGGGCACGTCGTAGGGCATCACGAAGCTCTCGTTGCTGCCCATGAACAAGGTCGTCGTGTCGTTATAGAAGAAACTGCTGACGTCATTTCCGCTGACGTTGTCCAGGTCCTGGTTGGCCTGCTCGATGAAGATGACCGCAGCCTGCTCGGACATCGACTCGATTTGAGACATGTTAAGTAAAAAAAAAACTTTAAATCCACGTCCAGGAATAAAAGTGGTAAAAAAAAACAAAACCGATAGAGCGCTAGCCCTGGCTGAAAGAGGAAAGAGTTCGAATCATTGCAGCCTCCACCAGTGTAGTTACATTTGATCCTCAGCGATTAAGAGTCATACAACTAAACTTGGTTTCCTTTAAAGAAGAGTCATCAGGTAACTTTTTCTTCAGATTAACGAGTTAACTGTCCTTCAAAGTATATGTTACACAAGGTCCGTGACCTTCTCACAATCCCCATGTTTCATGGGCAAAGGTCCCGCTACTCTCATGGCTTCATACATAAGTCACATTATGTTCCATGGTTTTCAAGCGACAGCTCTAAATTATCCGAGGCTGTTCACAGCATTGAACATGATGGCGAGCCATCTGGTCGTAGAGGGGTAGTTGGCTTGTGGGCTAAAATTCGTTTACAAACTGAAAATAGAAAAAAGAAAAAAAAAAGAATATATATATATTTGTTAATTATCTAAAAATAGAGCTTTAATATTCCCCTTAGCCAGAATTATAATAATGTTTTGAACTACACACACGTTTCTAAGATTGCGAGACACGATGAGCTAGCGCTAATGACGTCACACTTTAAAGTGTAACTATAATACATTAAAGAGCGATCCACTTTTAAATGTCTTCTCCACAAAAAAAAAAAAAATAATGAGATTATTCTTACACATCTTAAAATGTGAGTCTTAACGAAGATGTGTTGCAAACCGACTGTCCTCATACAGTGTGTGTGCGTGTTTGTGTGTGTGTGTGTTTGTGTGTTTTGGGGGTTGTGCACTTTCGGGTCATTTGCCGTGGGTTGTTTTAGTTAAGCTACTCTCGTGTTGGACACAGAGAAAATATTTTCCCCCCGAGGATATCAAAAATAAATTGCCATTTATGACAAAAGAGTTGAAGCAATGGTCGCAAGATCAGTATTCACATATCAGACGTCATTAATTCAGACCTTTATTAAACCAAACAAAAAAAAGAAGAGATGTTTTTATTCACGTAGGCGGTCCTTTTTATAATTAGACTTTTAAAATATCAAATGTCATAGTCATGATTTGATGCCATCATGATCCCATTGGGATTCTGTTGTACTTCTTCTGTGATCATATTGTGATTCTGTTGTGATTTTTTTTTTTTTTTTTTTTTTGATCACATTGTGATTCTGTCTTGTTTTTGTTGTGATCCTATTGTTACACCCTCTATGTTGTTCAAAGAATACAAGTGCGTGGTCTAGAGGGGTTTGAAAATGGGATAACATAGGTAGAATTTTTTTTTTTTTTTATTTTTTTTTTATTTTTTTTTTATTTTTTTTTTTTTTTTTTTTTATGATCACATTGTGATTCTGTCGTGATTCTGTTGTGATCCTATTGTTACACCCTCTATGTTGTTCAAAGAATACAAGTGCGTGGTCTAGAGGAGTTTGAAAATGGGATAACATAGGTAGACGTTAGACACATTTCTTGCTAAAATAAAGGCAATCATTGCTCTATATAAATTTTTTTTATTACAGGAATACAATATGAAGAAAGATAAATAAAAGTTGTATATAAAGAAATGAATAAATGTCTAACAATATTAATATCTAATTCTCACAGTAATATCAAGAGCACTATCACATTGACATGTCTAAGTTCCTGTAATTAGGATTGCTGCTAAAAATTTGATTGCCGTGTCTAATACTCAGCAAATGCCACGGAAAGCTAGTCAATCTCTAACTGTAGGGGAATACAATCAATACTTAAACCAAATCTTTCTGAGGGTCACTCTCTAACTGTAGGGGAATACAACCAATATTTAAACCAAATCGTTTCATACATCTTGCATTTTAGGGTCTTTCACTAACTGTAGTACAACCAGTACTTATGAACGAATCATTTCGCGTGGCTTAAACTTATATTTAGGCAACGTTCACTGCAGACGCTGGTCTGGCACTTTATTACTCTAACGACTTGTCCCCTTTTTCTGGAAGGTGTAATGCGGAAAATCTAGGTCAATGGCGTATTTAAACATAATGGCCATACCATGTAACACTATTGTGATCCTATTGCCATCAAATTGTAATCTATTGACATCACATTGTGATTCTATTGACATCAATTTGTGATCCTTTGTCACCAAATTGTGATCCTATTGTCATCAAATTGTGATCCTTTTGACATCAAATTGTGATCTTTTGTCATAAAATTGTGATCCTATTGTCATCAAATTGTGATCCTATTGTCATCAAATTATTGTGATCCAATTGTCATCAAATTGTAATCCTATTGTCATCAAATTGTGATCCTATTGTCATCAAATTGTGATCCTATTGTCATCAAACTGTGATCCTATTGTCATCAAATTGTGATCCTATTCTAATCAAATTGTGATCCTCTTGTCATCAAATTGTGATCATCTTGTCATCAAATTGTGATCCTATTGTCATCAAATTGTGATCCTATTCTAATCAAATTGTGATCCTCTTGTCATCAAATAGTGATCATCTTGTCATCAAATTGTGATCCTTTGTCATCAAAGTGTGATCCAGTTGTCACATATTGTAATTATACTGTGATCCTATTGTGATCATATTGTTTTAGGCCAGATCTTAAAGCAGGAATGTATTACACAACTTTACAAGTCAATTTTATTCCACATTTTTACTAAAACGCGAGAGGAAAATAAAAAAAAGGGGGAGGGGGGGGGGAATTAAAAATTATTTAAAATTACTCAATTCTTGAAGACCAACATCCCAAATGCCCGAAATCCTGCACGCAATCATAACACATTTATGTTGTGTTGTGTTTTTGTTTGTGGCGGTGTGTTGTGTTGTTCAGTACTCAGTGAAAGTACGTTTGTTTCTTTGTTTCTGTGTACGGTATGATTGGTAACCATTGCCTGCTGCCGCCACTCTCGTTTAACACCAAACATAAAACCAGCGTAGAAATAAAAGTCGACCGACTTTAAGTCCCGGATATGCCACATTTCAACGGCTTATCCTGACCGTGTTCATTGCCGGTGAGATGATGGCGTCCAAGACGACAACTATATATTTTATTATCGCTCTCCACGCCCACCCCCTCCTCCAGCCTTGCCGAAACGGGGTCGCCATGGAGACCGTGTATCAAGAGACTAAACAATGAAGTAATTTAAACTGTTGTGTTATTCAACGTAATTGAAAAAGCGGTAATTCTGAATGTATTATTATTTTTTTTAAACAAACATAAGCTCAACCTCGATTGATGAGTTCGTAGGCTCTTTATTTTGAGCTAAAACTCCGTCCATGCTGTTGAGATTCAACTCACACATAATTGCGACACAATATGGTACCGTCTTCCTCAACTGACGAACCACTGATTAATATTGCAGCCTGTTGACAATTTCTCGGATTTCTTTGTGTACACTATACAAAATTGTTGTCATATTTATATCCATTCGGTGCAAAGGGAGGACTCGAAATTTAGGGCACCGACAGCGTGATGTCTCCACCAAATGAGGTCTCCCAAAAATGAATGCAACTGAGAAGACATTCTGAGTTTTCAACAAGGAAGCTTACAATCAGACGTTCTCCGATAAGGGACGTTTTCGTGAAAAGAAATATTTCATTTTTATATGTTTCCAAACTGGGTGAGATAGTTGGCTGCCTTGGATGATTATGGCTGACAGCCGTCTTTCAAATCGGCTTGTACGCTTGAATGGCGTCAATGAATAATTGCCGAATTCGAACCCCGAACAGGTATCAGGAGGCCAACGGTACAATCAAGGAACCCCGATTGTTCAAATCTGTCGCCGTTCGGAATTTGCATTGGTCACGTCAGGTCAAACGTAAATGGCTTGGGTAAAAAAAAAAGTCCCTTTAAAAATACAGACGGCTTGGGATGCCCTCGTCTTGTCAGTGGTTTAGAATAGTGCGTGCATCTACGCTTATCATTGTTACTCTTCTTCGAGCCATACCTACAGGTTGAACACGTATATTCTGGAATATTACGGTGTTTTCTTAATCTTAGTTCGTTACGGAGACAGGCTAGTTACATCGAGTACCATTTTTTTCAAACTTAACATTGCTTTGAGAATAGAATTTCATTATAGAAACTTTGTGATGCCCTCGGGTCATGATTATTGAAGGCAGAGAGTACTTTGTGATGCCCTCGGGTCATGGTCTATAGAAGGCAGTCTACTTTGTGATGCCCTTGGGTCATGGTCTATTGAAGGCAAAGTGTACTTTGTGATGTCCTCGGGTCATGGTCTATTGAAGGCAGAGAGTACTTTGTGATGTCCTCGGGTCATCGTCTATTGAAGGCAGTCTACTTTGTGATGCCCTTGGGTCATGGTCTATTGAAGGCAGAGTGTACTCTGTGATGTCCTTGGGTCATGTTCTATTGAAGGCAGAGTGTACTTTGTGATAACCTTGGGTCATGGTCTATTGAAGGCAGAGTGTACTTTGTGATGCCCTTTGGTCATGCTCTATTGAAGTCAAAGTTTACTTTGTGATTCCCTCGAGTCATGCTCAGTTGAAGGCAGAATGTACTTTCTCATGGCCACGAGTGTTTCACTACTTTTGTGTTAGATTTATAGCAAATAAGTTTTGATGCTTGCTCTTTATTCAGTCTCCTTCCTTCAGCATAGTCTTTTGGTTTCTTACTCGAATTTAGTGTGAACAATTCAAACAA